AATATAAATATTAAATTATTATTATTATTATTATTATCTCTACGGCATTAATGCAGGTACATGTAGATTGCATATGAGGTACGGTAAAATACAAGATAACTTTCGTTTCTCACCAGATTTGTCCCAATTCTCACGGGATACGTCTCAATTAAACGAGATCTCTGCATCTCGTTCCTATGGGGTGTGTCTTTTTTCCCACGAAATGCCCAACATTTTGCTCGATACACTCTTTCCGTTTTGTGTTGCAAAAATATCGTTTTCCCTCACAAAATTATTCACCAACCCGATTTTAGACACCAAAATGTTATTTACAACTTTCCCTACGTAATGAGACAACTCTCAGACTTCAAGTAGCCAATTCTTTGAACCAGATACTTTTCTTTTTTTTTTGGGACTTCAGTAATCTCAACAAATGGGACAGAACAGTTTTCAAATGCGTGTCAAAACAACAAACCAAATTCCCAGTGATCAATCAGAAAATAGGTTTACAATCTCATTAGCCAATTGCCATTGGGACCTCATAGTGAAAAGCGCGGGAAAACACGGGCGACCAAATTAAGATTGGTCTTTAGCTTTGTATCTGATTGGTTGATAGAGTGGCGTGACTTTTCTAGACCAATCACAGAGCGAAGTAAAGCAAAACCAAAACAATAGCGGATTCCTTTCTACACTCCATTGGAAATTGCTCTATATTCACAAAAAACTCACCCTTATGAATGCATGAATGTTCTTCACTGAATGCAACATACAGATGAACCAGCGGCTGTAAATAAGTAGATCATCCATGGTAACTACACTCATTGCTGAATCACCTCCAGCTAGAGTTGCTTCACATGCCACAGCCAGTCTTCTTGCACGCTGCAGACAGTCTTGATATTCTTCCATAATATAACTAATAATATCAAAGGAGGAAAAGTGGAGTTAATCTTACGCGACTGCACTTATTCACAGAGAGAATCCTACCTCAATTACGACATATATCTGTTCTAAAAAGCAAATTCGTCAAACCTGAGGTGGCAGTCAACAAATAAAGTTCAATCTTTAAGTGAACAATTGTGTGTTACACTGTAAGAGTCTCAGTAACCCTTCTGTGCCCCCCCCCCCAAACATCACTATGTATGTGGTGCTAACAGTGAGACTTTGTTTAATAAGCAAAAGTTTCTTTGTTCAGTGATTTCAGAATGATAATTTATCCGAAGTAAATTGATGAAATTGTCACTCTTAGACGTTATTGGGGCAAAAGGAAAAGTACAGTCCAGAGATGATATTGTATTCATCTCACCTACTAAAAAGTATAATACTCTAGAACAATTAACTTAATTTGGAATTTCAGGTCTGATTTGGAATTATTTTCAGGTCTGATTTTCGCTATTGCATAAATAGCACTTTCTACTGCAAGGATCGTGCATCCTACGTATCTATAACCGCAGTTCAAAATATATGAACTTCACACATTCATCATATCTAATACTTCTACTAACCAAAATTTGCTTTCAAATGTGCTAAAAAATTAAACAGACTGAACTGCTCATTTCCAAACCCTAAAATACAAAACTGCAATTATTAACTTCTTTATCTCTATAAGATTGGCTAGCTTCTAATTCCTCCTTACAATGACCCTGCTGCATCCAACATTACAGTCATGAGAATGATGAAGATCATAAAAATCATAGAAGCTCTTGATTTTGTAACATGTCCACCTCATCGGTTCCATGGGAGGTGTAATACAGTGCATAGAGAACAGTATGGAGAACATGCATACTGATGTTAGGATGTAAAGGATTAGTATAATTTCAGAGCTGAGCAAAGAGTTTCCAGCAATCTGATTGGTCAAGTGGTTCCTTATATGATGCTATATAAACTGCTCGACGCGGTTTATATAAAATGTTAAAATAAAATGTTAATAAATGTTACTAAAATGTTATGATTTTAGAAATTTCTCTGTAATGATCAGCTCTGAAATTATACTAAAACAATTATTTGCCTCAGGTTCGGTGAATATTGTCAAATAATCCCCTTGACTTTGTATCCGGGATTGTTCGACGATAATCACCTTGCCTTCCGCAAATAATTGTTAATTATTGTCAGCGCATGAGTGAGTAATAATGATAAGTGGGTGCGTCACTCTCACCTGAGTCTTTTCTGGTAAACAGGAAACAGATTTTCTATGGCCTTCGTGTGCTCACAGAAACGAGCCCAGCGTAGCATGTGCATGTGTTTGCACTGAACCAAGTGTTCTATTCTGTCCAAAAAAAACTGTGAAACAGAAAAACCAAAATGGTTCCAGAAGCATAATTCTTACATAGTATGAGTTCAAAAATAGTTTTTATGTCTGTGTGACATACAGTGAACCACAAAGAACCATGAAGACTCTTTACTTTTAGCTGACCTGATGTAGCAAAAGTGGTATACTCCTTGCAGTATATTCTACTTGACAACAGCTGCTCATCTCCTCCTGCATCACATCTGATTGTATTATCAAAGGCTGTGCTTCACGAACCTATAGAACAAAATCCACCATTATGA